TGGTGTCACGTCAGCTTTAGGGTATTTCTAGGGTCCCCTTGGCCAAGGTGGGGGGGTGGTCCATTCAGTCAGCTTGGGGGCCTTAAGATTTAATTTTTAGGCCGGGCTCAGTGGCTCACGCCTGTAACCCTGGCTCTCTGGGAGGCCGAGGCGAGCGGATTGCTCAAGGTAAGGAGTTGGAAACTAGCCTGAACAAGAGCGAGACCCGTCTCTACTAATAATAAAAAGAAATTAATTGGCACTAATATATTATGAAAAAAAAATTATCCGGGGCATGGTGGCACACGCTGTAGTCCCAGCTACTCCGGAGGCTGAGGCAGAAGGATTGCTCGCGAGCCAGGAGTATTGAGGTTGCTGTGGAGCTAGGCTGATGCACGGGCAGCTCCTTAGCCCTGGGCAGACTTAAAGCAAGACTGTTCTTAAAAAAAAAAAAAAAAGATTTAATTTTAGTTCACCGAGAGTAGGGAGCAGAGGAGGCAGAAAGGGAATACAGTGGCCTCTGCACCTCCAGCTTCATGGGACAGGGTTCAGGCACCCCCGAGCCATGGGCTGTGCTAGTGGGTTGACAGTGAGGCCGCAGCGTAGGGGGTCCACACACACAGTGGGAGGGGGGCAAAAGGGCTGAACTGCGCCATGCCCCCAAACCCTCTGGCCGCTAAACAGGACGCGGTGCCTGAGTGCTGAATTCCTCCCATGATTCACGGAAAAGCAGTAAACAGCACAGCGGAAGCGGCCCTAGCCAGCGGGGAGTCAGGCAAAAAGTCAAACTCAATTGTTTGTTCCCGTGCGTAAGTCACCGCCCTCCCACGCTGCAAACAGAACGTGTTTTCGTTGGATGGTCCGAACTCCCCCAGCTGCTCCAGGCGACCTGGAGAGAGCCTGACACCCGTGGGCATGCGTGTGCCCACCCCACCGGGGAGGCCACCGTGGGAACCGGAGGCTGTGCCCCAGGGTGGGACTGCCATTCGCCCACGCACGGCTCTGTGATGCTCCGGGGCTGCCTTGTGCCCCCACAAGGAGGCACGGCAAGCAGGGGCTGCCGCTGGGGACCTGCCTCCCGCTGGGACCAGCAGAGGGACCCCAGCCACTCACGTCTCCAGGTTTCAAACATCCCACCATCGCCGGCTCCCCGGACACAACGCAAAAACAATTTTCATAGTTTTATCAAAAGGCAATTCCCGTGACCCTGGAGAACGTTAATCGCTACCGCCTGTTACCGCTCTTCCCATGTGGCTACTTCACACGTGTTCAGTTCTTGGAGGTGGGTGCTGCCATTGTCCTGGTTTTGCAGAGGGGGAAACAGAGGCACTGAGGGGTGGGGTCATCTGCCCAGCGTCACACGGCTGCCGGACAGCAGAGCCAGGATTCAGTCCAGCCTGAGTCCTGCGTGAGCTCAACGCACCACCACCTGTGTCCACAGAAGAGAAGCCAAACTCTATGAAATAATCTAAAGAGATTTACTCTGAGCCAAATCTGAGGACCGTGACCCCAGGAGCCACGTCCGAGAAGCCTCGGGCACGCAGACTCGCCGTGGCTGGGTTGCAGTTTGGTTTCATACATCTCAGGGAGACAGAGGTTACAGG